CTGGGGAATTCTGGGAGTTGAAGCCCACACATCTTAAAGTGGCCAAGTTTGGACAACACTGCATTAGGGCATCAGTAACAAGTATCAATTGTCTAAGTTATTCTTGCATTCCTGGATTCTAAACTCAGCCTATCTTCTACACTCTGAATGTGTCCAAATACACATATTTAGATTTGGCTGAATCTAGCTTGCCCTGTCCTCTCCTAAACACAAAAAGACCCCTGCTCCCTCCTCCATTAAAATTACGTCAGTCAATTAATCTTCTATTTTTTGTATCAGAAGTCCAATAACATCAGGTTAGCATCTGCTTTCAGTTACACTAGACTGCACCAATAGGGAGATTCTTGTCTATTAAAACACTTCCATCAATTAACTAAGGTGTTGGATATTCCTATTTGAGTTTCTTTATGTATTAAAAATAGTGTGGTATAAGATACAAGCTGAAGCCCCATCCAATTGTTTAACACTGCCTTTCCCACAGTGATCTACTGGAATCTCTCAGAACGTGGACCTGAAAGCTCTATAAACAATACTTTGCCTTCCAATAATTAATATATAGAAGTATATCACCTCTACATAGAAAAGTTTCACAGAACTCTCACGGTTACTGGTTAAATGATCTCTATCTTTTAAAAAGCCATTTAAGCTCATGGTGTCAATTCACGTGTGAATTATGGATTAGATTCAAACTCCCTTCTTCTGCTTGTCCCCAAAATCTATTATCATATAATTTCACTTGATGGCCCAAACTTTCAGTATTATAAGAAATTTCTGCGTGGGTGGTTGGTGGAATTTTCTCTCTTCAGTATTATATAGTCAGCATTTTATGTCTCCATCAGCAAGATGACACTTGTTTCTTTAAATAAAGAGATCTCCTTTTTGTGTGGTCACAGCGTGAGCTATCAATATAAAAGCAGTTTGACGACCTTGATGTTCTTAGCATGTACATCTTGATAAAATCCTTAAGCTGAATATATTTGTCTTCTGTCTAGTATGTGAGTCAATCTGTGACTAGCTTTCTTGCAGGTTTTATAAATGGAAAATGAAGCTAAAAGAGGTTGGGGAGGACACAGAAGAAACTGCAAACAGAACCTTCACTTCCTGCAGTATTTTCCTGGTTGGTATCTTTCTCTTCAAAGCCTCTGGAACTTCATCCCTTAATAGAACTGAGCAACTAAAAGCATAATGCTACGTTAAGCAACTAGTAGTTTGTGGATGGATGGATATAGATAGATATGACCAGATGTGCTAGTTTTGCTGATATTGTTCTGGTTCTAGGGGAAATGTCCTGGACACCAGGCAGAGTTTAGAAAACCAGGGAAATTTCCCGGTTTCCAGAAGCCTACCCTGACTGGCCAACAGCAGTAGAAGGCTTGGGTTGCAAGGCAGCAGAAGAAAGCAACATCTGGCAGCAGAAGGCAGCGGCAGCATAGAAAGCAGTAGTCATAGAAATAATATTAGATAGCCAGTCTCTGTTGTTGCTACTGCCTTGGTTTTCATTCATCAAATCTGCAGGTACTTTCTGGTGGAATTGGAAACGGGGACAGAAGAGAATAGCTGCTACATTTTCCATTTCCTGGATCACAAACAATAGGATCTATTGCTTGTTAGTCATGATTAACTTGGTGTGACCTGGAAACCATTTTGTATGAAAAGTAAGAACATAACAGGGAACAAGAAGTCTTTGGAATTACTGACAGCTGCTTCATTACAAAAAGCCCTTCCAAATATTAATATCCATACTGCCTGGGACTCTTGTGAAATTGAGTTGTGGCTCAGCAGTAATAAATATTTGGATTTATTTATGTGTCCTGGTTTACTACTCTTTAAAAACTGGTCACCTTAGAATGGATGAATGGAAGGATGGGTAGAAAATATTTTTATTACGATTGTGACTAAATGCCAGCAGCTTAAGATATGCTACAAAAACTAAGAAGTCCATACAGCACAGTAACATAGACAATTACAGGTAGTCCTCGCTTAACAACCACAATAGGGACCAGAACATTTATTGTTAAGTGGGGCATTTGTTAAATGAGTTGTGCTCGATTTTATGACCTTTTTTTACAGCAGTCATTAAGCAAATCAGCATGGCCATTAAGCGAATCACTCGGTTCCCCATTCGTTTTGCTTGCCGGAAGCTGGCTGGGAAGATCACAAATGGCGATCACATGACCCCAGGATGCCACAACAATCGTAAGTGCAAGCTGGTTGCCAAGCACCTAGATCACGATCATGTGACTGCAGGGGTGCTGTGACGGTTGTAAGCGTGAGGACTTGTTGTAAGTCCCTTTGTTCAGCACCATTGTAACTTTGAATGGTCACTAAACAAACGGTCGTTAGATGAGGACTACCTCTATGCCCTCCAACTGACAAGGCAGCTGTAATGGCAGTATTGGAACCCTTCTTTTTAAAATATTTCTGCTTTAATTACACTTTGGTTCCATAACCATACACTTTATTAGGAACTATTGTTAATTATAATTATTGAGAATGCAAGGGCTCTACTTTAGAATTAATGGTTTTATTAATGAGATCTAGGACTATTTTTTTTTCCATGTAAAAAATACCTTCCCCAACCTGGTACCTTCAAAATGGGTTGGCCTACACCAGTGTTTCTCAACCTTGGCCACTTTAAGATGGGTGGACTTCAACTCCCAGAATTCCCCA